ATATATATATATATATATATATATATATATATATATATTTGTCATTAATTCTGGATGAAATGTGATTCCCAAACTTGAGATTCTATGAGTGACGCATGGGAGGCTTTCATCAATCACAAACGCCGGCGATATAAAGTACATTTGCATAAAATAATGAACTCGGAGCAACAAGGCGCTTTGTGAGGGCGAAACAGTGGCGGTAACAATCTGTGAATGCAGTCTGCCGGAGCCAGTCGCCTTCTGGTGGCTACGGTACGGGGTAGAGGGGGTGGGTGTGGGTAAACATGCACACGGTGACTCTGCGGCTACACCGAATCTGACTGGAGACGCCACGGCGCCGACGTCCGACGCCGCGTCGTGATTCGACGCTGCGTGAAGCCGCCATTGATAAAGCCGCGCGTGTCCTCTGCTAGCTAAATCCCCTCCATGGCTCCTTAGCAGGTGCCATTAGTTGTGTAAGGCATTACAATTCCATCCTCTGTTAAAGGAGGATGCCATCTGTTCTTGCTTTGCCCTCCCTACCGGTTTCTGCCACGTGCCACGGGGCTTTGCCTTCACCCGTAGATGCCAGGTGGCCGTCAGATGCACCTCTTCAGCTATAAGGGAGAAAGGCTTGCTGTTTAGCAGATGCTGAAAGCTTCTGCGGCGGGGAAGTTCCTGTCACGCTTTCACAGCGTCCTGTCATCATTGAAATCTAAGTCCTGGTCACGCCCCTTAAGCAGGAGCCTTGTAGAGTCATCGCCCCCCCCCCCACCCCCCACCTGCCTTTGCAAAGGAAATATCTTGATCTATGCAGTGACAGCCAGCTTGCCAGCACGCTGCAGGTATTAAGGGTATCCAACTGTGATGTGCCAGGGGTATAGTCAGTAGGCTGCAGTGGGCCGCCAGCACGCTCCAGCTCGTATGCATATCAGCCCTCGGCCTCATCCCCGGCGGGGGAAGTTCTGTCCGCTCGCCATAGCCTCACGCCGAGTCCATGTGGCACAGGGGCTGTTGCCTGTGTGCCCTGCTGCAACGTCAAAGTGCACCAGAATAGAAATGCAGAGATTTTCCTTTCTCCCAAAGGCAATCAAAATGCTTTTAAAAGCCTAACCTGTTCCTATCCCCTGCAACATTCTTTATAGATGCAAGTGAAAAGGAATTAGTCCAAAATGTCAGTAATGAATGAAGACAAAAAGGGAACATTTAGGGACCTGCTATTTGGAATAAAAGGGAGACAGTGCCCCTTTTCATATGCCATATATCATTCTTCCATCATAGATAATTCTGTGGAGTAAAATGTATTTTGTGAGTAGATTGATTATGCATGTGATTTACATGAATGTTTTCTTCATTGCTCGAAGTACTGACAATGCATCAGCATTCAATATAACTACTATAAGGAGGATTCCGGAATGTCCAACTGCAGGAAACATTAAGTGAAAGTAAAGTGAGAATTACAATATTTTTTGTAGTACATATATATGCCTGTGTGGCAGTGTACTGGGATTTTCTACTCCAATTAGAGACAGAGAAATTATTGATGTGTAAGACATTATTTGATGTCAGACAATGAAATCATGTCTATTCTTCCTTCTTTACCCAAGTCTTCCACCCACTTGCTATTTGCTTTCATAGGTGCTCTACATTCAGCTACATCCTTTCCCTACACACCCCGTAATCATGCCACCCTGTCGTGTTCTTGTGTATATTTACATTAGTCTGGCAGATGACTTCTTTCATCTATGGCCCGACCTAAAGCTAAAAATTCTCTGGCCTTGAGCTCCAGCTGTCGAATTGAAAAACAAACAAAAGAACCTGACAAATGATCAAAAGAGAAACAAAATGGTAAATACGGAGCAGTCTTTTCTTCCATTTTCTTACGTTTGATTCGGCAACTTTAGCCACAGTTCCTTTGCATTCTGCTATACAATGTATATAATGTGCAGTTCTGCAGTTGAAGTACACAAACATACGCAAAACAAAAAGACAGCTGAAAATGTTATGCTACCATATACAAAACATGATGAATTAAACATCCGAAGTAAACCCACAAAAAAATGCTATAATAACAAATAAAAGCCAATGACAAAAACATTTTGTAATATCTCATTTAGGTAGCAGGAAGAACAATACAAAGTTGAGATCTTATCAACATTCTGTTTACATTGACCCACGTTGCGTTCTTGTCTGAATCCTTTTATGGATCTTCACAGTGCAAAAAAATGGAAAATACATTTTCATATTTTAGCACCAGCTTTCACTCTTTCTTCATTAACACATCAATAACTTACATGTTAATTGAAAGAAATCTATTCCAACGATTTAGGTTCATGTTTTATGGTGTGCTATTAAACTGAACTGTATTATGTCAAAGATGATTTATAACAGTGACTAATCACTGCTCTGCAGAGGGACATTTTGAAAAATGCAAACTTCCAAGACATTCATTCTTTTATTTGTTCATGTAAAAAGAGTCAAGAATGGCTGCCTGTTCCGTATTATTTTACTCTGTAAAGTTTGCTGCACGATTCACTGCTGCCTGACACTTAGCCTGATTCTGTCCTGAGGGGTCTGTTCACACCCAGTCAGCATTTTCATCTAAAATCTATTTGCAAACCAAATACAGTGTAGGGTCCCAGTTGATGTTAAGAACTGGAGATGTGTGGCAGTGTTCAGGCCACCTGTCGTTCTTTCCCAGTTGGAATAGAGTTCCTCTGCTGAAAATGCACCAAAAAACCTCAGTGACCTTGGATGCCCTTTTACTCCGGAAAAGCGGCCAACGAAAAAGGCTGAGAAGTACCTCTGGCTGAATGTTTGAATTCTGAATTTCACAGTGTTGATCAGTATGTGCCGAGCATTTCTCCATAAAGCGATAGATGATGTCATGGTTGGGCCATGCACTCCCTCAGCTGAATAAAGTTTGATTTAATATCATTCTAACGCTAAACTAAAGTTCAGAGCGGGACTCTTACTTCCTTAGAAGCACCAAAACACAATGGCTCTGTTGGCACTGTTGCGCATTAGCAATGCAAGGCCTGTTTCTCCAGCGGCACTCTGGGTTCCTACCTACCTCCTCATGTGAGGAAATCACAGGACGCATTAACTCTTGCAAATGGCTCACGATCCCCCCCCAACACACCACAGACACACTGGCTGAGTAAGACACACGGAGTACATATGCAGGGCCGGGACAGACAGCACTTCGCCTAGGTGTGTCGCAGACGTGATTCCAGGGTCCTACCTCAGGCGCATGAAGAGGATGAAGGCCACTAGAAGGGCCCCGAGGGAGATGCAGTGGCCCAGGTAGTTGATGATCACCGCTATGTGGTAATGCAGCTTGCTCTTTCTCTGGAGGATGAACACAAGAGCAAGCAGACAGTTGAGGGCAGGTGGAATTACTCTCACAGACAGAGGTACATTAACATGGTCAGAGGCCCCAGGGTTTTTTGAGCTATCAGAAGTCCTCCTACCTCCTAACTTCCAGTTCTGGGGTCGCAGCGGTGAAAGCTGTTGATCAGCAGGGGGTTACATTTTAGTAAACAAGGCCCCTGGGCCGCAGCCTGGGCGAACCCGTACATTAAAGCACCCCTGCACACAACAGAAAACCTACCAGAGCAAGTTATGAAAACTGTCAAATACCAAGCCGATAACATTCCATAGACTTACATTTTACAAATAGGATTATTATGGTGTATAATTTGTTTCGTTCATTTTAAATTATTGAACTGGAAGTACAAATAAATTATTGATGTGTCACCTCCTGTGCGGCTGTTGTTTCAATTATATTTCAATTTACCTAAACAAAAAATGAAATGTCTGAAAAGAAAAGGACATACGACTGCACAAAACTAATACACCTTGTCAGCAGTTTTGGGGAAAAAATAAAATTCACACCCATAAAATTAACATTAAAATGTTGCACAGAATAAGACATATATTTATAGAACCATTCGACTAAACTGTGTCGTCTCGTTTCCAGTGTTATGGAGACGGATGTTGAATTCCGAAAAAAGACCCAATTATTATAAATAATAAGTGTTAAAAGTAGGTTGCACTATTGCCTCATATCTCTATATTTGTGGAGATTCCTATCATGTAATCCCACCTCTGTTTCGTGTACAGAGTTTACATGCCCCCCCCCCCCCATGTGGATTACCTCCCACAGTCCAACAACCTGCAGTTAGATTAATTTGCAACTCTAAATTGCCCCTAGAGCAGAGGTCTCAGACCACTGCCCCGTGAGACATTTCTATACGGCCTGCGACGTGTTTTTAATTCATCATTAAATCTGGCCCACAGATCGATCTTTTGTTTTCCACCAAGGAAAAAAAATGGGGCAGCATCATTCTGCTAATCAGGGCTGGCAACCCTGCACGCTTCAGCGCTAGGACAGTACGGCAAGCTGAACCCGCACTCGGCAAGCTTTGGATCGTCAACACTGCGTCATATTTTATTTTCTCGTTTAGTTTCTCTCACTGGCTCAAAGAATAGCTCAAATGGCCCACTTGAGCTTAAGACCTCCGAGAAAGCGCTCTGATGTTTAAGACCTGGCCCGCCCCAAAGTGTGTGTATATTGGCCCTGTGAGCAACTGGCATCCAGTCTAGGACGTACCCCTAGCCCTCTGGGATACGCTTCAGGCCTGACCGTGATCAAGACAAGGAGTTGGAAGATGGATGGAAAATAGTTAATAAAAAACAAAGCAATAAAGAATATTATTACATTAATAATATTATACCCATTAAGGAAGGCTTCTTATGGGTTTAGGCAAATACATATGCTTAACATAAAACCCAGTTTACATAACTAAGACAAATTCTAGCCATAAATTCCAACCTTGTAAATGTGTTGTGTAAGTACGGATGCAGGAAAGTACAGCAATATGATGGGTGATTGCCCTCTGTTCAGGCCCTGCCCTGGCTCTGCGTGTGTAGGGCGTGCATATTCCCCCTCTGTTCTGACCCTCCCCCGAATTACTCCTGCTTCATACCCCTATTTCTGGAATAGCCTCCAGGTTACGGGAAGTTGACGACTTGCAGGAAGCAGTCATTCCTCTTTATAAGTTCGATTTTGCATGCCAGACAATAAATACACCACCTCAAAAAGCCCCCTTCAGCAAAACCCTCCTCTTTGAGGACTCCCACTGCCTGTGCGTTTCACAGATGGGCGCTCACTCAAGCTCTCTCACCGACCAGAAGTGGTTCTACCTCTGGGGATAACAATCCAACAGATCGACAGATTGCCCACTCGCAAATTTTATCTCGACTGTCTTACACTCTGCCCTTTCTGTGTTACAGGGGGCAATGGAAGGAAGCAGCGATTATCACAGAAACTTCATGCTACTGCGGGCTGCTTTGCTCAGCAGAACACATTATATTTGTGCACTTTGGTGCAGCCTTACCAATGATCATGCTCCATTGGTTTATTTACATTAGCCATGCATTTATTTTAGCTAAATACTAAATATATATTAGCTAACTGGACACTAAGTATATTTGCGAGCGGTTCCAGCAGTTCACGGCTGACTCGCCTTCCCCTAACGCTGTTTTCAGGGCGTGTGTCTGGGCATATAAACTGTTAAAACAGGCTTAGTCCGTCGGATCAATGCTTGTGCTCTTATTGCTCCCCCGAATCATTTTCTGCAGCCCCGAGAAAGGACTCCACATGGCGCAAACCTTTACAAGTCCACGGCATCTGAGGAGCTGAGCTGAGAGTGAGGTGGGGGTTCGGATTGGAGCAGGATGCCGGGGGGTGGGACCTGAGCAAGGCCGATGTGCCCAATAAGCCGCGTGTGGGTTTCCAGAACAGTGACTCGAATAAATAAAGATGTTCCAGGAATAATGAAGAATGCTGTCATCTGGATGCTTAGGACTGAATTTACAGCCCCGCACCAGTCGGTCATAAATCTGCCTATAAAAAAATGCATTAATTGTGTCCAGGTTCAATTTGTGCAGTTGTGCAACAGTAAGTTGCACTTCTCAAAGCAATAAAAGGTACTGTGTCCTGCAAGCGATCAAGTTACTTGCATATGGATGTTATTAAACAACATTAATAGCTGTATCCGATATTTACCAACCCACACTGGCTTGTGCCATTTGCAGATCACGATGTACTGCTAAGGAGCACAAAAATGCACAACAACATTATGTTGAATCTGTCACAAAAAACATTAATAGAAACAGAAAACTTGTCTATTTCCAAATTATTCATCATACAAGGGAACAAAACAACCAACGTTTTAGCCAAAATATCCTGGATATCCTCTTGGTAACTTCGAAAACACCGTCATGTTTAGTACATTACACTAAATGGGTTTTTGACTGGCTGAATGATTTTCAATTATTATACAAGAATCATTTATATTTGAGAATTGCATGTTACATTTGGATCTTAATGTCCTGCTGAATAATTTTAAGCATACTGATTTGTGCATCTAAAGATGCTTTTTTTGCATATGAACTATCTTGCCATGTTTATGGGCCATAAACATTTCTGTATCTTTTCTTTTGCACTATTATTAATGAACAATTCTTGCTGATTAAATTTTGGAATTTTGTAGGAAAATGCAAGTACTGTCACTTCCTTTAGCAGACAAATGGCAAAGGGCTAATTCCTATATTAATTATGCTATTTGATCATGCTTCTACTATTCATTTTACTTTTCACTAGCTGTTACTGCACCAGATCCTTCACGTTCTAAAGGCCTTCAGCTGTTACTGCACCAGATCCTTCACGTTCTAAAGGCCTTCACGCGATATATTTGCCGTAGAATCAGTCCGGAGCATTAACTGGGCAGCCAAAGCCTGAGACCCAGAAATCTGATTCCCAGGAGACACAAAGAGTCTCAGTTCAGTATAATATGTCCCTGTTTAGAATTTAAGGTCCAACTGTTGTAACCGCTACCTCCCGCCACCCCTAAAAAAAGCGCAACTCAATTATAATGCAGTGACACAAAGCTGGTCTCCGGGGGGGGGTTTCCTTTCCTCACTCTGGTTTTCTCGTTCATTCTGACTCTCGGGAACGAGCAATTTATCTTTTACGGCATTTATAATGTGCCTGAGGTTATTGCGATATTCATGTGAATTAAGCAAATCTGACACAGTGTGGTTGGTGTAGGCAGGACTCTAGAGGAGAAAACAGAGCGAGCCAATCTTTAACCGTGATGCAAGCGTTAGCTCGTCAATTTTAGCATGATACCGCCATCGTAGGGAAATTGGAGCATATTAACTAAAATAGGCTCATATTATTAGTGCATCTGATAAAAATTTGAAGGCAGCAGACTTTCCAATTTTTGGGATATTAGTATTCAAAAAAATTACAATACATTGAAATATCGCTTCCCTATTATGGCACCCTGAAACTCCACCATCTTTGCTATTTTACTTATTTAATGCTCTGTAGTAAAATCCAGCGGTCATCCAAACGACTAGTTGCAGTCACAACATTACAGTAAAGGAAGGATAAGATACACTGATGCAGTCAATTTAAGGAGAAATTGTCCTTCAGAAACAATAAAACTTAATTTTTTCTACTACTGGTTCACTTGCACAAATCAGCAATACAAATTGTTGTGGACTGCAATTTAAATCAGATTTAAAATGCTGACTAATTGCAAAACACATTAATTTACTCTACCTAGAGTTGAAGTAGAAGTATTTTGAGACAGTGACAACAAAGTTAAAAATGATTATAATTTCCTATACAGTAGGTCCCCTGTTGCGCGGGTGATATGTCCCAAGACGTACAAACTGTGGATAATAGTCAACCGTCTACAGATGACATATTTCTCGTGATTTTCATATACTTACATATGGTAATTGGTAAATTACACACAATAACGTAAAGTGCATTGTACATTATGATACAATACGGTACTGTACTCTCTCATGTGAAAGGGATTCTGATGTTTCAGGTTACTTCTGTATAATGTTATTCTAGATAATGTAACAGATGAGAGAGCAACAAGTGATGATCAACTCGTGCTTTTTATAGCACTCAAAGGATGAAGGAAAAATGAAAAAACATATTGTTACACATTTTATCATTATTTTTTTGGACCTGGGTAAACCACAGATAACTGGTACAGGGGTATTATGGTATGCCAGATGAGGAATGCCAGATGAGAGAATGCCAGATGAGGAATGCCAGATGAGGAATGTTCTTGTTGTCATTAAATTGTGAAAAGTATACCAATGCCATGATACATGATACCAATGCCAATAAGTACATTATTCACGACAAAAACGGCACTAGTAAATAATCTTTTTATGGCTGTTAGTGCACAACTGCAGCAGACATGCCTGTTGGTCTATGTCCTCCAGGTGATCACGGCTGATTCTGGGTTTGGGTCACTTGAGGGGTATGTGAGGTGCTTTTCCATGTCTGGCAGCACCAGCACACGTTGCGCCGTATGGAGACACAGCCTCCCATGCTGCCGCCTGTCGATCAAGATTAAAGGAGCAGCTGGCACAAGCTCAAGGTTCCCCGGCAAGGAATCTCAACTCTTTCAAAGGCAGGAATTCAGTGGGTTTTTTGTAAGCAGTGACAATCAACTAAAAAATGATATCAGTGAGAGTCTAGGAAACTGTCAGCTCTTAGTGATTCTGATACTAACAGAGTGAACAGAGCACTCTCTCACTCCTGTATTCAGCCACGTTTCCCTTCACACCTCAGCCACGCTCAGCCACAACGGATTATTAACTCACCTGCAGCTCACAAACTCATTTGCCTAGTTGCGGGGGCAATTTTAGGACTTTTTAAGGTAAGGGGCATACAAGGGGCTATGCAGAAGGGCTATGCAGAGGTGCCAGCCAATGATATGTATTGAATCAATGACTGACAGGTGGTGGGGGAGGGGACTACTCTGGGAGCCAATCAGCTTTCAGCTAGGGCCTGTGTCCCTGTGGCCCCGCCTCTGTATACACTCCTGCTAGGCTTGGGGTATTAGGAGTATGTTTTCAGTCACCTCTTTGCGGGGTTTTATATTTCACAGAGCCTGTGTGACATTGCCGGTCTGTTCTGGTACACGGCTCTTGCCTGATCCATCAGCTTGCTGTTTTTCTCCATGTTTCAGCAGCTGATTTTGGATTATGATTTGGATTCATAAAATTAACCTCGCCATCTGCATCTGGATCCTCCAATCATTTTGTATGCAAAGACCTACTGAAATTGATCATTTCTATACATGGAAATGATGGATTTGTGAGTTTTTTTTATATATCTATCCAGCCACTGATGTAAAAATTCCTTAAAATTCCTATAATTCCTTTAAAAAGCTAATTTTTTATGTTTGGAGTGCAACAGAGATTAGAATTGTAATTCATAAAATGTAAAAAGTATCGACATAAGGAGACTCTGTAGAGACAACTGCTGAATTTCTTTTAAAGAGTCACATTAGCCGACGTGTTCTGGGATAAGATTATAAATATCAGCTTTTCCTTTGCACAGTGTCGTTCACTACGTCCTACATGAAGACACGCGTAACGAGTCTCGTAGGCTTTTAGCATCCTCCACACAAAAACCTCGTCTTCTCTATACGTTAAAGGCGACATTCATTCTCAGCTGCATTAATCATCCTGCGACATGCAATGGCGGTGACATCAGCGCATGTGATGGCTGATACTCTACTCGCCCCTCGCATTTTCATTTAACAACCACTAAGGAGTCACTATCCTTTTGAGCGAGTTGTTGATCTATTTCCAAATGCAAATCTTGAACAACTAGCTATGCATCATTAGCGAGCATGTTCTTCATTCCGCGACTGGAGCAGAGTCTCGTTCCTGGAATCCTTCAGAGTACTTGCAACCAACAATACTCCAATTTAAATTTAAAAGTACAAAGGGCCAGAGGATTTTTTTTGTAACTATGCTTTAGACTCCTTTCATGTTTTACCTAAGAATCAAAGGCGTCCTGGGGTCTCGTATGAGACGTCGGCCTGTTTGCACGCAGCGCTGCACCACAGTGTTGTTACTTATTTGCATGTCGCTTCTACTGTCAGAAGCAGATGGCAGTAAGAACAGGCCGACTGCAGCCGGCCCACGGAACCGCAAGGGACTCCGGGCAGCCTCCAGCAGTCACATGGCCATTAGGGGTCCCAGCCAGACAGCGTCACTCTAGCGTAAATCCCCAAGACTGTTTCAGAGCGGCACACACATATCCACTGAATTCCACAGATATCCATTTTAATCTTTGCTCTGGTTTGTGGTTCCGTTTGAATTCTCGATTCCGAATTTGTTCCTCGAGAGATGACATGCCAAACGGAATGTCATAATGACTGATATGATCACAAGTGATTACAGTTTAAAAATCGAAGCCTAATGTGGTGAAAAATGCTACAAGAACAATTAACTATTAATAGACATATAATGATATTTATTTCAGCAGGCTGGAAGCTCCTGCGAGTCATGTTTTTGACGTTACACCCCTTGTACCTTTTTGCCTCGCCATCCCACAGACTTTTCACCTTGTCCCTCATCAGCTGTCCATCCTATACAGGACCATGACATCATCATCATCATCATCACCCCAGAGAGGACTAAACCATTGCATTTAACATTAATTATATTTGAGCGGAATATTCATTTCAAAACCACTATTTCTTATCCATCCATCCATCCATCCACTTTTGCCCATACACACCCACTGCACATACATACCTATATACCTATGACAAAATTTTACGGGGGGGGCTCCCACAATGAATTTTGGGAAAATGCCTGATATGCTAGATAGACAGTCCAGCCCTGCATCCATCCATCCATCTACAATTCACTTCTGCAGCTGAAGGTCATGGTGGCTACATTTTTAAATATTGATGTATTTATGAATGTATCGATTGTTGTGATGACTCACAGCAGTCTCATCCTCCTTCACAAGACTCCCGCCCAGGGCTCTAGCACATATTGCATTGCGTAGGCCGGATGAGTTAGCACTCTATTTACTGAGCAGATGTCCCCCCACCCAGCAAGCATTATGTATTAAGAATTTACAGTATAGATTCTCTAACTATTCACAGCTGGATTTTCTCTGGGCCGATTGAGCTAGAGGTCCTTCCATAGGGATTCCAAGAACAGAACTCATAATAAAATTTTAGCTCCCACGCTTTAATCAGAAGGATTTGGACCAGAGCTCGGTTGCCCATAATAAAATCACACAGGGATGCATGGTACTTTCTGATAAAATGACGGCACAAGGCAAATTTTCCACTCAGTGACTCAGTGTAGCTTTCACAAGGCTTTTGAGTTTAGGCCAAGGAGTCTCTAATGAGTCTTTCTGTAAGCTTTTCAAAAACGCTCCCCACCGTCCACTATGGGATGCCTTAAGGCGACACTGAAGATGAGGACTGATGAAAACCACGATGATCTGGATGCATTAACCAAGTGCTCTGGTGACAATGAAATGCGTTAGTTCATCGGAAATTTTACCATTATGTTATTATTCCTTAGTTTTCCTGCTAAGAGATAAGAAACAATATATATGAACCTTAATACCCTTCAATAAAACATGCAGTTAATTATGTCTATAGAACAGCCTGGCTATCTGACATTGTGGTGGCATCTCGATTCGGCCAGTCAGGTTCATATCTGAACACAACCAACCGGCGTGTAGATAAATTATTTGCCACAGAGAAATGGCAGATGGGTTGAAACGTGATCAGCGTATAGGAGATATAACGGAATTGAGTATCAGTTCACAGTTTAAAATGTCTTAACAAAACACTGATGGAGACAGAAGCCAGCAGTTCTGAAGTGTGATTTTCAGCGTTTGGATCATTCCAGCCGCCATCCTCCGCAACATTGATGCTAAAATGCCTGGAAAGAAGCTTGGCTTGGCTTCCCTGACACAGCTACCGTACCTCTTCATTCAGGATGGCTTGACACTGTGAGTAATTGCCTTTCATCGCCCATGTTCCATTGGAGAGGCACTCTCTGTACACATTGTCTGCAAGAGGAAAAAAGACAACGGGGTAAATATTGACTGCAACTGGCCGGACACAGATAAGGGAAAAACGTCGTAATTTACAGTACCAAAAGGTAACTGGTGTCTTAGATTATATATCCAATTTTACAACATTAATTGAGAACCCTGGAGTTTAAGGTAACTGGTTGTTCCGGATAGGATTTGAAATTGCAAACAGCATTTAATTCCTGAAGAATCAGACAACCAGAAACTATCCTGGGATGTCATTCCATTGTAGGGCATATGGTCACACATCCACGCACTGGGTGATTTGGGGGCTGGGGGACAGGAATCAAATCCACAACCCAGGGGGTGTGAGGCTACAGTGCTGCCCAACTGAGCCCCCCCCCCTTGCCATTTACTCTGCTCAGGAATTCAATTGCTACATCTGTAAAATCTTTGGTAGGTGTAATACAGCCCTACAGCCTTCCCAGAATTCCCTGATTCCTCAGCATTTGATTTAAGGTGGATTAGTTTTAATATGTGTGCTCACTGATACAATTTTCAGGGCCAATGGGGAGGTAAATTGATCTTGTACTGGGAGCTTCCAGGCCAGAACGCGATTCATATTGGCGACTGTATATGATCTCGTCTTTCAATAAGCTCCTCCCTGTATTTGAGTTCCCATCGGGTTTTGTCACAGAGATGTGATGAAAGAGAAAAAAAAAACATTTAACCACAAGAAAGAAGAAAACGAAAAATAAAAAAAGACATATATCAAGTGAATCTTTCTGGGATCGGAGGTGGGAGTAAGTAGAGACATATGACGAGTTAAAGCTAAAGCGGCAAGGAGACGGAACCCATGCGGTGGCACATTTCTGCTCTGCCTGTATCTGCGTGACCACATTTGTAAAGTATCTGAAAGGCGAAAGCAGAATACAAATCAAACATCCGTTATTGTGGTATTAATGCACAATGTCACTACTATTTCATGCTCAGCTAAGACAAGCAATGGGCGTCATGGTATTACAGGTGAATAATCCCTGCTTTTGATATCTACCAATCAACTCAAGCGCCACACAAGCTTCTGTGTTCTGGGGCAGCACCGAGGGTGGGCTCACGGGGTTTAAGAGCTAAATGCATCAGCGACGCCCCGGTCATCTGTACAATCACTGTCATCATGTTATTAATTCTAGGCAAAGCCCCAGATAGGCTCTGAGCCTAGAATGACCCCTTGCGTGTGTCTGTTTCATTCTGGTTGACTGATTCTTGTTGGGCTCTGAAGAAAATAAAGAGTCAGAGTACTCAACTGGTTGGTTGAAACAAAATCTTGGTCTGGATTTTTACTTTCTGGACCTGAACTATACACTTCTAGTTACCAGTTGGGGTTCAAAATAGTATCAAAAAATAGTATCTTTATACCAACAACAATATTGTCTCTTCAGACTAAGCTCATGGTACCATTAATCCATTAAAACTTAATTAGCATAATTTAATTTGTCCTTCAATTACACCTCACTGCGTATGAGAGTGATTCAACTCTCTTAATTGTGTCATATTGTACTATCATTCTTTTCCCAGCAAAGATCACATTTTTGATGTCTCTGTTAACCAGGGGTCAACACCATGCCGAATTCTAAGGGACAATTTGTTGGAAATGCAATTTTTTTACCATGGTATTTAAAAACTGTAGCCTACATTTTTTTTCCAGAATCAATCACAACAATTTTGCCACAGACACAGATGAGTCCTGCCGTGGACATATTTGATCTTAATTATTGAAATGGTATTAACTCCAAATTCGCTCCTTGATGTGTCCCGAACAAAAGGGACAGTGCAGTATGCCGGGCAAATATTCAAAGAAATGAATAACACCCTGCTTCACTCACCGCCAACCCATAATCACAACCATGATTGTGATCAAACCATCTGGCTTGTCATAGTCGACCCAGACGTGTGGCGGGTCTAGGTTGCATCACAGGACTGAAAGCCAATCTGTTACCTCGTCAGCGGCAACACTGTTCTAGAACATTCCAACCAGGGGGCACTTAAGGTGCCAGGACGTGTTGGTGGTGTGACGTGGCTCTTAGAAATCAACTGCGTTACCGAGTGGCGCTGAATGAAGACGGCGAGGGCAGCCGTTGGAGGTGGCAGCTGGAGCAGCCTGGCAGGCCACCTGCATGCCCGTGGGTGGGGGGGACGCGCTCATTGAAGACGACGCCAATACTGTCACTGCCCTGCTGCCAGTTGCATAAGTCAGTGTTAATATAAGAAAGGGAGTATAAATAATTGCTAAGAAATAAGTGATGTTGTTAATCTAAGCCACACTGATGATATGGCAACTTAGTGTAAAAAGAACCACCAAGAATGAGTAAATGAAGTAAACTTTGTCCATTAGATACTAGAACTGCACCAGATCCGCTGCACCCCAAGTTAATTTTGTACTGGTCCAACAGTGGTCACTTAAAACGACGATTTCATCGTCATGACAAATTCTTTGATGGATCATTCGCGCTAAAAGGAAACTTTTATACTTGGCTTAGCAACGCTGCATACATTTATTGCAGTGCTGTTGTTTTCATATAGTAAATATGAAATTACATGCAATATACAATGAAGACCAAAACTCATTAAAACTGCAATGCTATTGAGCTTAATGACGCATTTCCAGGACCGAAATGAATTAACTGGCCAGCAGGTTCAGTGGAATGACACTAACCGCCACACTAATTATTTTGCGGCTGATTTGACCAGTTCTGACTGATTGCAAGTATTATCAGGGGAGGGGGGAAGGTTCCTCTGCAGCCACAAAGACCCTTTAGGGTTCAATTTCCTTCTGCGGCCTCATTAGCATTGCCAGTTGTTGGTAATTAATCAGGATCTTCTTGGCTGTTCCGAGTTCCCGTGGGTACATCGGTACTGACATTTCCTCCGAGCCGTAATGGACGCTCCAGTGTGTTTCCGCATGGTCAAAGATCGTCAACTATGCGTGTCCCTCACGGCTAGACGGTGGATGGATCAAGGGGCTGACACTGCATGATGGACATCTCTGTCATTAGTGGTGCCTGAGAGTGCTGATGGGTAGGTTGGAGAGGGGACTGATGCAGAAATATCCAGGCAGCTGACATACTAGCTAAGCGTATTATTTATGATCTGAGCTGAGTGCGATCTCACAGTCGATCAACTGTCACGTTAAGGGTTGGAAGTGGGTGTCCGACTGAAAACATTTGCTAGTTTCAGTTTAAAACAGAAAACAGCCATCTCTTAATAAGCATTAATACCACTGCTGTAGTGCTACATTAAAGTCAAGTACGTGTAAAGAGTATCTACCTACAACAAATTGCATTACAGGACAATATAAATGTAACAATGCTGTCAATTTAGAAATGAAATATCTCACTTGTACCACAGCTAAAACGGTTTTACGGTTAAAGGGAGCGTCCAAGATGAGATAAGAAAACATGAATGTTATTAAATTATTATACAAAAAACATTACACGATAGACAGTAACAAACTAGCCAGGTAACATTTTTCATTCTAGGAACGTTTACTAAACGTTATGATTAAGGTTAGACAGCTTTCAAATTGTGCACTTTTGCTGATGCTCCCAGAATGTTATCCCACTACCATAACTACTGCTACAGCTAAGAATAATAATGAATTAACGAGCAAAGGGCACGGTGGGGCGGCAGGAGACACTGTAACTCTACACCTCTAAGGTCATGGGCTGAATGCAGGGTAGTACATTTGCAGTTTACATACACAGCACTCTAATGAAATAATACTGTTATTATAGAACAATATTTTTCAACACTAACTGCATTAAAAGGATATTCAGGTACTAATCGAGCTGACATTGACAGAACCTTTGTTAAAATGTAAAATGAATAAATAACATTCCGTTAACGTTACAGTAAGAATGTTCTCTGCCAACTTTGCACAGAACCTTCACAGAACGTTGGCTAAAGTTCTGGGAATGTTCCCTGTTAGCTGGGTATGCATAGAAATACGTGAATATGTAGATTAATCTCTTTAGATTACTGGTCGTATTCCCTGGTAAGTTGTATCGCTGCTAGTTTTTCTTCAGGTATTTATATCTGCATGATATTTTATTTAATTATGAATTCAATATCATATAATAAGCATATATATAAGAATTGCGAACAATGACACAGATTCAGCTCCAAATAGGGATTTCTGAAGAAATAAGCTAGAATAGTAGTAGATTTCATCAGTGTCACTAATTTAATTGTGAGGTCCCATTTCAGTTCACAGTGATCTAAAGAAAAAAGCCAAGAACTAGAATATTTATAGACAAGTAGAGAGCTGGAAAGTTAAAGGAGTTTAATTATTAAGAAATGAAAAAGCGAAGGCGTGCAGTATTCAGACCTGCCTGTGCATCCCCAGCCTCACCAGCTCCTACTGTCAGTAACCATATAAACAACGATTTGTGCAGATTTTCAGACTTGAATGTCTCTGTGCTCCGATTTGTAATGCTGCAGTTGGTCTGGCCTTAGGGAGATCTAAAGTGCTTCTTAGTGGTTCCACTTTGAAGTGATTTCAGAAGAAACGTGGCAGGACTCATCTTGGTTTTAAAAAAGGTCCCTGATGTAGACTCTGTCACCCAGTTTTGTCCTCAGTGTCGTGTTTGTGAATTATTAAAAATATCGACCCAGCAGGAAACCCCAAGGTCTGGCTCGTTAGTTTCCCTGACAATCGAGACTAAAAGGCTTCTGTCTGACACAGATTCATTTAAACGTGGGGTTGCTGGTGCCACACGCCTCGGAGACTTTGCAGATTCGGGGCGAGGGTGTGAGCGGATATTACAAGGAGGAGTGAAGGTCGTAACAAAGAGACCATATTCATCTTTCATCTGCTGTGCCACGGCACTGAAACTCTACTGGTGGAGCAGCCTGTCGCACTTTATGAGAGCAACGCTGACTTACCTCCTTTAATGTAATTTTAATATTTTTTTCTAAGGTTGCACTACTTGTACTGCAGTATAAGCAATTTTTTTGTGTACCGCTGTGAAAATTCACCTCGGTGTGCAGTGCACAACAACACGGACAACAATAACATCAAATCCAATTCAAAATTAATTACATTTATTAAATCCTCAGCGTGTCAAATTGTTATGACTCTGAACTCTGGCCAAATGCGAAAAGATAATTAATTTGTGCGACAGCGACTAAACAATTGCAGATGTCAGCGCTTTGAATGATGGTGGTGAGGAATAAATTGAGTAATCTGCACAGCGTATGTAGCTACAAGTGTAGTACACGTAGGGTGCCTATCTGCACTGGATTTTTCAGAGTTATTCTCAGAATTTGATTGGTTTATCATAGAGAAAAATAAATTCCACACCAGGAAATGACATAGTGGCTAAGTAGGTAGCGCCATTACCTCACACCCTTAGGGTCGGCGTTCTGAATATTGCTCCATGTGTGCGCAGTTTGCATGTTCTCTCCATGTCATGTGGATTTCTCTCTGCCGTCCAACTGCCTGTGGTTAGGTGAAGTAATACCTCTAATCGCCCCATAGTGTCCGTGCCCTAAGATAGACTGGCGTTCTGTCCATTGTGCGACAGAACTGTGACAGGATCACAAGAATACCAAATGATCAAACTGATACGAAGGATGATGAGTTATTTCAGTTATGCAAGTATTGTGCAAGTGTCTTAAAGCATTTTATTTCATAGCCTAAGATATTTATCTGGGTAACAATTATATATTTGGTCTAACAAAAAGATAACGTAAAATTAGAATATGTGCACAGATACAACAAAAAGTAAGAATTTCTTCTGTTTTCCAAAAAATTCAAAAGCTGATATTCAGTGGCTGGAATAATACAGCTTCGTGTCCCACTGGGGGTACCCCAGTCATTCCACGTATTCATCAAACCACTAGCTCACTTAATTAGTTTGAAATGAATTTGTTGAGGGGTGGCATGGTGGTGGTCACCTCACACCTCTGGGACCTGGGTTCGAGTCCCTGCCACGGTCCCATGTGTGTGGAGCTTGCGTTTTTCTCCCCGTGTTGTGACGGAGTGTCCTCTGGTGTTACCAAATTGCCCATATGTATTCTCGGTGACAGGTTGGTGCCCCATCCTGGGTTGTTCCCTGCTTTGTGCCCATAGGCTCCAGATCCCCCACCCCCGGCTCTAAATAGGACAAGTGGTTTCAGAAAATGGATGAATTTGTTGAGGCACTGATTAGCAAAACATGGCATGCTAGCCAAATACATGGCTATATTGGGTGGCAACCACATGGTGGGATAATATTAGGAAAGGTGTTGAAAAGGCTAAGCTAACGTGCCTTTTCAGATCTAAAGTCTTACACCAGCATGAAAAGAATTTAAATATAATATTCTTTAGCAAAATAAGACTTTTGCACAATCCTGTATGTTTATAAAGTACAATCTCTTCAGGAACTTCAATGGACTGAGATGTAACTCAAACTTGCTCAGTTTCATGCGGAATTTTCAAGGGAAACAGGACAAAAAATATAAAAGGGTGATAAGGAAGCTTGTCGTTAAAGTTTCCTGCCCGTCGTTAAAGTTTCCGCGCATCCCTCTTGGATGATGTCTGTTCACTTAAACATTTGCTTTTAATCTGCCACCCAGTGTGACTGGGCAGAGCTAAAAGGAGCCAGAGATGTAAACTGAATCACACATGTGCAGGCGAACCGCCGTGCATTTGGCAATCTGTTCCAAAAACATTGTAATATATATTAATGCTCTCCAGACACAGCTTATATACACAGAATTATAAGCGAAGAACGCAAATAGAATCTGACTAAATCAATTTGTAGGGGCGTTCTCAATTATCTGCAGACCCTAAAGGGGAAAAATCAGGATGCCCTTCTTCGCCTGATCTGAAATCACTCTATTTAGCCCGATTCTGCTAAATCATTACCATGTTTCTTTTCTATCACCCTGTAGAGATTAAAGACGTGAAGATTTATCTAGTGTCCATAAATACGTACGCATGCATGTTCATGCAGCCGCAGAAACACACGCCCACACACTCATACAGCACTGCAAGTGAAGACCAATCTGTTGTTCCATGACTCAGTGGAGGATTCATGATAGATTTGGTAGAAGGAGGGGGGGGGGGGGTCACACAGCCCTCCAGAGGCCAGGCTGTCTCTCCCATGCAGCTCACTGTAACCACTGGCTACAAGGGGGAGGGGGGGCAGCTCTGTACTGTCTGGAAACCTAGAGTGCATATACCTATCTAGTTAAGGATGCAATTCATCACTAAGGATACCTGGAGTTCACTGGGCTGTTCTGCCCAGTGGCAGCGGTAATGGAATGGGGGCTCTGGTGAGGAGAGCAGGGGGGGGGGCAAGTCAGAGCAGGACCGATAACAGGTGCCGACGGCCACAAGCTGCCATTTTCACATGTAGCTTGCCCTGTAACTGTCATGCAACATAATGGGGGAGGGGGGGGGCTACCATACTGGAGACAGGCATATAAACTACCATTCCAAGGTTTAGTGGCCCGGCTGTGTCCTCCTGGCTCACATGGAAATAGCGGAGGACAGGTGGACGGGTGCCACAAGCCCGGCTTGTCCTCTGACAGCGGTTAAAAAGAAAGAAAGCTTCCAAAATGACATGGAAGTGCGGGCGTTTAAGCATGGTCACTTACTGGTGGTGTTGTATCGGACTCCATAGAAGTATTCCGGGCAAGGCCTGGAGACCATCTCCCCTGCACTGGTCCTGGGCCAGCAGGTGCCGATCCCGTCTATTGAAGTGTTGCAAAACAAACCTGCGTGAGGTATGTAGAAGTATTTTTAGGGATAGAAATGCAAAACAGGAAGTATGATTTAATGACTTGCCATTCTAGTAGTATGCTTTTCTAGTATGTATTAAATGAAGGACAATGAAGAACAACTTTGTATTAGAAAAAAAACCACACATATATTTTTACATTTTTAGCAAGTATTTTATATATATATACCAGTTGATATCCTGACCACAGTGTTTCATTAAAATGTATAGTAATAGCATGCACTTTTTTGTGCGAAAAAAGAAAATATGAGATGTTTTGAATACAACCTTTTAAATAGAATGAAATTACAAATGTGGACTGAGCTTGAAGGAATTCAACTACTGAAATGAGAAAAAAAAAACTTTCCAGTAACAAAATGGTAGTAATTGCAATTACCTTAAACTAATTTCAGTGTGTTGCAATGCTGCAAGTCCCATGGCTTACCTTTTTGAAAGGGTTTACTGAAATGTATTTGAGAAGTACTTGACATGAATAGTAAATAACGGTTTGCTCTGGTAGAGGGAACGAGGGTTGTAGAGAAGGTGGGTCCAAGCAACTAGAGGAGGCAGGGCCAACCAATCAGATGTCTTGGTCCCACCTCCTCTACAATCTGATTGGTTATCTCTCTGAACCAATCATTTTTCATTCTGCCCTCAGAACATTTTTGTGTAAGTAAAATTCCCACGAACAGGGACCCTAGAGTCTCAAGAACACAGAGCATCTTAAGGAAACGGGAACTGAGAGTAATAAAGAAGTGCAAATACAGTGGGTCCCCCTACCAGCGTTTCCAAGTAATGCCTGCCTCTCTCTCCTTCTGCCCTGCCGGCTCCCACTGACTCAGCCCAAAGCCTTCTGGTAAGCGGACCCCTTCGCTGTGTCGTTATAGCAGAATGATTTGGATGGTGTTGTGCCTGAGTGCTGGCTGACTGGTTTCTATCATGCCCATCCTGTCAACGTCGCTCATAGAACATTTCTCCAAATTCCTGCTACTTAAAATTTAACATAAGTATGCTTAATGTGCAAACTAATATCCCTTCAAAGCCGTCTTCATACATGACACATACAGTACGTATACTACAAATGCATTCATTGCAAAATGCACAACATTATTTTATACATTTTACAGAACAGTTTAGACTAAATTATTCTGGAGCTAATTGTGTATTGTGGAAACAGACCCTAATCCTAGCCATAAATCAGAATGATCCAGTAGTTAGAACAATCCACATTCTGGTACTCACCTGTAATGTTGCCAGATGATGCCGTCTGATTCCATGATGCTAAAGAATGCACTAAAACAACAAGAGGTAAAATGAATTGATTTATTCTTTGCTACAAGCTACTTCAAACTACTTCAAGTAGAAGAACATGTTGGATTCACCTGGAACGTATTTATCACATGAATCTTATTTTCAGGTCCATGCAACCATCTTTTCTGGAATATATTCAGGTATATATTTAAAAGTTCTCATAACATTACACTGAGTTATGCAGGAATAGAAAAATAAGTTTCAAGCGGGTAAAATATCCAGAGGCTGGATTTCAAGAGTGTTTCATGGCATTCAGGCTGCAATACCAATAAGGCATTTGTGGAATTGATTCAAAGGTCCTCCCACAACAACAGAATCAAAGGACATTTTAGAACAAAAAGTAAATTTAATTCCGGATGGATCACAGTGATTGTTAATGACACAGTCACAACCATTTTTCTATGAACAAGAGAATCAGTCAAGAAATATTTGACATTTCAATAAATTCCACTTATGACACTCCATCAGTTAATATCATTACTGGCTGTTTTTTTTATATCAGTGATACATTTACAATGATATTTCCTTGTGCCCTTATTTTGGAAGTACGGACATGACTTGAATGCATGAAGACTAGTACTCATACTGTAAGTCACACATATAAAATTTGCGCTAGATGTTAGAATATGAACCACCAAACCTCAGGAATAAACCCTGTGGATGGATTTCTCTGAAGTAACACAGAAACTGATGATTTACTCTATATAATCCCTTGGATAAACTGTCTCCAAGTTTGTAAATTCTGTTCTTAATTCTCGATCCTTCACCAAGACCCCAGTGTGACATTCCAGGGGTATTGGTGCATATTAAGACTGTAGGCCATGACAGTAATCTTTTTTCATGGAGAGATATTCAACATCCCACCCTTTAATTGCTACGTCTCCAGCTTTCCCTGGCGAAGGAGATAATTATATAAACCCAAAGACACTTCGCTGAATACCATTCGGCACCTTTGTCGATTCGCGGGCCTAATTATCTAATATGCGGCAGTCGACATGCTGCTGACCGAGGCATTTCGGCCTTTTAGTTATGGCGTGGGCTTCATGATATTTAAACTAAATCAAAGATTTCCGCCAATGGGAAGAAAATAAACAAATTGGACTCTGATGAATAGGGGAAATCGAATCATACAAGAGGCAATTATGTGTCGTGGGATAGGCGCCATACTGCAGTCCAGATAGCTGGGGTCAAAGCAGAAGACCGTTAATATTATACGTATTGTTGAGAAAATGGGAACGATGCACTAAATTAGTGTCCCCCAATCCGGTGCCCGGGGACTCGGACAGTCTGTGTTTCTGTGGGCTGCCTGGCAGGGAGCTGGGAGGAAGCCCCCCCCCCCCACCATGTGGGGATCTGTGGGTCCCCAAGCGCCAGGTCGGGAAATGATGCACTAAATCAATATACCAACCTGGATTCCTGAGGCTCCCTTCTGCCCCCCCCCCACCCCCAAGTGATCCGTCTGTTATAATAGCATCACAGTGGGTGGTGTGGGTAGTGTTTCAGGCCTGTATTCTCAAGGCTCCCCCACGAGATTGTGTGGGTTTTCCCAAATTCTTCATACCGACACTCCAGAGACATGCCGTTCAGGTGATCCGACGACTCCGCGTTGGGCTTCACTGTCTGACTCTGAGGCTGAACGTCGGAGCGTCTCAACACCCTATTCCGGCTGTTTCTTGGAAACAACGAACCATGAAACGTGGCTGCGTGTTGAAAGGATAGTAAACAGTAAACCTGAAATACAACTACCCAAGTAAAAACACATCAACAGCTACTACTGGAAAAAGTGAAAAAATGTAGAAAATACTGAATATCTGGGAAATATCTTGGCCTTATTTTCAAGACAAATATTCACAGAAAAATGTGTGAACCGAAAACCACATTTTCAAGATCTACATTCTGAATGTATTCCGTTTTTTAAATACATATGTAAAAATTAATGGATGGTCCCCTTTCAGACTTTCTGTGGTCTTCATCAGGCATTATGGCAAAATGGCCGAATGGTCGAAACATCTGGCATCTAACCAGTTGCAGTTGCATGCTGGGTAATCCCAGGCTTGGAGTCTGTGGTTGGTCAGCTATCTGAAAACCAGTGGCAGGTCCGGATTATTCTAAGAGGGGGACCAGGGCCACTCCGCCCACCCCCTTGGCCCCACTACCGCTAAGAACACTTGTTAACAGCACTGATGAATAGGCTGTGTGTGTTTTTTTGTTGTTTTATAAACAGGAGTATTTTGTGTCCAAAAGTGTTGCTGGGTTTGATTTCCTGTTTGTCCTGGTTGTCAGAGTTGCTTTTTAATTAGCCAATGAAACCCTTAATCTTGCAGCAACATTTAATTTTTTCTGCTTGACCACCGCTGATTTTCACAAGCTTCACTGTTGACACTGCAGCTCGGAAACATGCTCTATTAGCCAAAGAATCAGCACTGCTTAGTGAAGTATTTTGTCCCTATCTAGTATCTACTCATGAATTAAGCTAAATTAAAAGTTGAAGCTGCCAGATAAGGCCAGACAAAGTGACAATTTCAAACACTGTTAATCACATCATCTATAGAGCAGCCGATGTTTGAATATTAAATACAGATCTGGGTTTCATGAAAGGGCTTTGATTTGATATAAACTGATGTATTGAATGGCATGACTATTGGCTCCTTCTAAATACATGGGTTCCAGCTTTGGCAGTAATCCTGGGGTTTAACCCAAGCCATGTAAGACAATAGATCAGTGGTCAAGGTGATGAATAGGGAAAAAAACAATACAGTAAAATCCACTTACAACGGACTTCAAGGGACCTGGCACAGTCCATTATATCCAAAGTCCGTTACATCCAGAGTTGCTGTATGCCCAGAACACAACTACAGGACACCATTTACTCAGGCCACACCCCAGCAGACACACTTGTGGTATAGATTATTATATTGTACATATAGTAATCCAACTTTACCTGACCAGATGCGTGACTGTTAATAATCCCGACTACGCATCTGCGCTGGATATCACCGGCACGCCACACGCCGTGTAGGCGGAGCCTGCATATCCGTTATAGCCGAACAAAACTACAGCTAAAAGCTGCATGTTCTTAAAGGCGCACAGCCGGGACAAGCGGACCTTGTCCATTATAGACGATATTCCGTTATAAGCGAGTCCACTATAACGGGATTTTACTGTACAAGAGAAACCACACAATTGGATGACACATGGCCTTTAAATGGGTAGAAACAACTCTGTGACAATGAGAAGGTGATGAATCTGGGCACAGAATTTAAAGGAGATTTTCAGTACATTTCTAGTGAGAAATTATTGTCTCATTCATTTCTGCCAAGGTTTCGCGTTGACAGTTAAACTAACAGAGTTATGCATGAGCTTGCACTCGATTGAAAGCTCTCACAGGATAAGCAAAGAAAAGTGTGATCAAGGTTCAAAAGAATATTACAGAAAAGCTGTGAACATAAGAACTTGATTGATTTGGCTGCATGATGGTCCTATGCAAATATCTCCAATGTACCGACGTGATTATTACTGAGCAATAGCCTGTTTGTACATGATATTTTATGCTCTATCTCCATTTTGTAAACCCTTTTGTTCTGTGAAACACTAAGGTGAAATGCAATGGACACTTTGCGTCAAAGGAAACTGTTTCTGACGCGTCCACAGACTGATGTCACACAGTCACTTGGTATGACAATCTCCTCAAAACGGAAATGACTTCAAATGAACCTTTAATTCTTGTCTTGAGGTTTCTTGGGTTGAGCTCAGCAATCACGATGGAAAGCGGAATTCAAGCCATTTAGGTCACTCAAGGTCACTCGCTCTCTTTTATTAAAGCACTCTAGAATAGCTTTGGCTTTGTGTGTTACTGAAAATTTAATTTTAATCTCCCTCCTTTTAGTAGAATAAATCTACTTTTCTTATGAACTTTCTTAGATTTTCTTCAATGCTTCCCAGCTCTTGCATGATGCTCTCATTGCCATGCTTGACTATAGGGGTTTATTGATAGTTATGTGGCGATTCTCCAACATTCCCCTGGCTTTCAAAATGAATGAAAACTAATTGATGATTAGGAGGCTGTAAGCTGCGTCATGTGCTGTGATCTGTGACTATGTCTGATAATTGCCTCTGAAAAGCTCATCGCACAAAAAGCTCAGTGATTACACTGATAAAACATTTCCAGGTACTGTCAACACCTGATAATAGACAGTGTAAATGGCAAAGGTTTACACGGTACTTTCTGTAATATTAAAAATGAAAGTTTTATGTGACTTTTACCATGCTTTTGGGTACACGAAAGGTAAAGGGTCTTTGGAAGGTATCCACATGGTGATACAGCTACCCAAGATGTGATCATTTTATGCTACACTTTGTTAAACACACTATAACACAGGTTAAATCTAGGCTGCATCATTCATCTGCAAACTTTCAGCCCCAATTGAAGAAATTGTCTTCACTGTGCCAAGTATGGGCGGCCAATCAGGAGAAGCAGATTTTGGTCATTTAACTTCGATATTCTTCATGCTGGCAGTTACTCACTGCCAGTATGAAGGATCATGTTACTCCTTCGATTTCTGATCATTTTAGAATTTGGCGATCAGTGTTTACATACCACAGCGCACGACGACGAAATGTGTCCTCTGCATTTAACCCATATGTGACATCGTGACATAGCAGTGGGCAGCTAATTCAGGTTACAGTGTGACTGGCCCTCTTTCCCTGCTTCACCTGTTTAGGTATCGTAAGCCCTTGATGGGGAGCATGAAGGCTCAGCAGCTTAAAGAGACCAAAGCAAACGTGTCTCTGGTCTGTCAGGCCCCGCAGGCCCCCCAGTTTTCTTCATTCAATTACAAAGTTCAATTTAAACTCTACTGCAGCCAGATTCCCACAATGGTCGCCAAGGTTGCTTACTTCTCTGTCTGGGTGGAAATCCTCATACAAACTACAGCTTCAGGGCTCAACATCTCGACTTGAGGGAAAAAGCAGTCACTGGAGATGGTAGTGCGGTCCAGTTTTACTAACCAAGAAAATTGTAGGGCATGTATCTGTCCAATGGTGTGTGAGTGTGCCCTGTGATGGGTTGGCACCCCATCCTGGGTTGTTCCCTGCCTTGCACCCGTAGGCTCTGGACCCCCATGACCCGGAATAGAACAAGCGGTTAGAGAAAATGGACGGATGGATGTATATATCTATCCAATAATGCACCCAGAAATCATAGTGTGGGTGTGCTGGGAGAAAATGACGTGGGCCAGTCCCATAACAATTTACCTAGCAACAAAATCACACTACAGACTCAGCTACATATTTTTTTAATCAGTTTTTAAATGACCCTCGGCGTTACTAAAACCAAATGAACAAAGAGAAGGAATAATCTATTTACCGCTAAACAGTACATTTCTCTAAATGATCTCACCAGACACAATCGCTTTATTGTACTGTGATTGTTGAATGTATGGGTCTGAGTTCCTCTTGGGGGGTTGGGGGGCGGGTCCAGGACCACCCAGCCCCGACCATGCCGCCATGGTAGTATCTCTCCATCTTTCATCTTTGACCAACTTATCTGTTCAGGGTGTCACAGGTCACAAGACAGGGATAAACCCAGGATGGAGTGCAGAACCCAAAGATAAAAAATTATTGAACTGGTGATTTGGTTTCGATTTGATAGTTCAATAACAGTGTTACAGTGTTAGAAGGAAGCCACAGATATATATATATATCGCCTCAATATAAGCCGCAAATTATTAACAAAACAGATAAATTCAATTTAACCTTGAATGGTGGACTGATTGGGGCAATTAGGTAGCATGCTGAATGAAAATGAAGGTGGGATTACATTGCCATGCTTATTAATCAACATTCACCAGGACATAATACTTATAATTCCACTTAAGCCTCAAATAAATTTCACAGCTGTGTACATGATTGAGCCATTATTACACAAACCACTGCATGGAGAAATAAAACCATTGACTAATGTAAATAATTTGAACTCTTGGATGGATGTTAAACCATATATGACAGCATTTTCAGAGATATCACATGCAAAATAGCTGCCTACTTCATATCATCATGGCCAGGACTGATATTAGTCATGAATGGCCATTCAGTTATTTACATAATTTAAATTAAACTGAAAGAAACTCAAAATTTCAGTTTGAAATTTTAAACACAGTAATAAATAAATTTGAAAAAATGTACTTTTAAGACTTAATTACTTTATTAACATAAAATGTAATTTATGTTATACATAATCAGAGCTCAATATAGTATATCAACTGATCGAGGTATATTTAAAATTTCTTAACCCTAAAGATACAACATTGGGTTACAGCCAAAAATATCCACCCAATCAAGGCCAATTTAGTCAAAGTTAGTGGCAAGTCATCTAAATGTTATACTATGTATGTCCCCTGATTGTATAATATTATGGAAATTACACTATACTCAAATATTTTGACATTTTACGTTCGCTGGGATGACATGTAAAATAATGGAATAACAAATTAATTCAAGAAACGGTCACTACAATTGTCCAATAAAATAAAACACCTTCAAGCAAAACTAAATAGATGTTTCAGTGCCAAGATATCTCTCTATTGATCTTCTCATTTAAATAAGTACTCATATACAGCCCCTAATGAATGAAGGGTGAGTGAACTTTATAGAACTCAATGAGATCAAAGCAGGCTCATTTGTAGCATCCCACAGGTACTGTACAGTACTTGGCACGCTTCCATCGTTCCATGTTGCCGTACTTTTCTTGTATTCCCGATATGTTATGGTATTTGAAGCCGATCGTTTCTTTTATTTAGTTTCATACTGGCCAGATCAGTATTAAAACTCAATGTACTCCTTCAATGCATTTGTTAGACCAAATGAAACGTTTCCATTGATGTTGTCAACAACTCAGTAGATTAAGATGAGAATAATAAGGGTCATACTACAGTAGATGTTAAGGTTTTGGCTTTGATTTTAGGTACAATAGTAATGAAGTTGTTACAAATCTGAAGTGTGTTTGGTTACAGATACGGCAGCACAGATCACAGGGACCAAACCATGTTTATTTTGGTCTGCTCAGTGGGAACAGCTTATCTACATATGATGTTTCGCTTTACTTTGCTTTGATCAAAGAGGTAGTCCTTAATCAGTTTTCATTTCCCACGCTCCCCTTAGTGAAATGTGAAGTTACTCTCAAAATCAACATGCTGTGATGTCGGAGTATAACGACTCAGTCCCAGCTTTTACACAACATACCAGGCTATGATTTATTTATGTCCCCCCCCCCCCAGGAAAAGCTCACATATTTAACATCCTTCATAAAATCCAACGTGACTGAACGATAAACATAATCAGAGTCATGAAGGGTCAACCATAGAAATTCACAGGAGTTGTTCCACTTCATTTGCAGTTGCTGTTTCGTTCTTACCCCTGAGCGCCAGCACACAGGGAAGCCAGACTCACACGAAGGTTCGAGAAGCAGGCTCTCTTACCTGTGATGTTTCCGGAGAAGAGGAGCAAAGCTTCACAGGTAATGTCTGCTTCGGCTCCAAATACTGTGGTCATCAAGATCGACAATACCTGGGCAAATCAAGGTTGAAACCAATAAGACAAAAAATAAGCAATATAGCAATTCATCGTTCTGCCATACTGTCCTTTTCCGACCTGTTTGGATGGAGGAGGTGGGAACTTCTTATATTAATTTATTTCCATAAAAATTATAGGTATCGCTTTACAATAAGGCTTCCTTTTTCCAGTTTAGTAACTCATGAATAAAAAGAAAACTGTTATAACTTGTTCATAATCGTTTAATAATGATTATAATACTACAACCTAATTAATAACCTGATTATAAATCATTCAGAAAACATTTATAAGGGTAGTCTTATTGTAAAGTGATGCAAGATTACATACAGCTCTGGAAAAAATGAAGAGACCACTCTTTATATTTTTTTAACTGCATTTTTAAATCCTGGTTTAATCCTGGTTCTGCTGGCAGAGGCTACACTGCGCGTCAGGCTGCTTCCAGGCTCAAAGTTACTAAGACAGCAGCACACAAGAACAAGGCGAAGCTGGAGACACTGGGAACGACCAGGAACCAGCCAGGTAGAGGGAGAAAGCGACGTCCTAATGCCAGAGATGATTGTTAACTTCCAACAGTTTTTCATGAATTGGAGGATGACCTCAAGTGACCATCATAAAGAATGGGAAACATTAAGTGCAGGTGTGAAGTGCACTGCTAGGACAGTTCATATCAGGCTAGAAGCAGGACTGAAGAACCATAAAGGAAGGAAGAAACCCTTCAGTGAGAAGCAGGGAAGAGCCAGGCTGCAGTTTGCAATATATATATATATATATATATATATATATATATTATTCACAGATACACACCCATAAAAATGGGAAATGAGGGAAACAAAAAATTGTGCTGTGGTCTCTTAATTTTTTCCAGAGCTGTTTAAAAAAACAATATGAGAAATAATCCAATAAATCAAAAGCCATATATGGAACTAATTATTTATTCAAACAAAAAAGAACCAAGATAACCAGGTGGTCAAAAATAGGGTTGGGCAAGGGGCAAGTATTCAGGTTTGTTCAGGACAGCGGGATTTGAGCTAAAATTTTTACACTCCACAAATAGACAAGGGTGTTAGTCTTAAAGCCTTCCCCAAATGTTCTCATGCAAATTGTTCCAAACTCAGTTTGCAACCCACATTTTGGAATGGCTTTCAGGTGGAAAAATATATATAAATAAAGAAAAATGGGTCATTCAAAAACAAGGAACAGAAACAGTTCTAAAATTTCTTCACATATCATGTTAAACTTCATAAGCATGCTATGATGTACCCAAATGTACTTGACAAGGAAGGACGTCTTACATATATGTCTACAAAAAAAAAAATCAGGTTTTGTCATCTCTGAAGATTCATTCATGATTTTTTGATATTTACTATTTGGCCAAGGCAAAACAGACAAACATACAAACAAACACTGAGTAACAGTTGTGGATCCAAATGAAAAGAAGAGAAAGCTGATTGTTGTTTTGATTCACTAAGTAACTATAAATAACAATGCTAACTTAACCACTGCATGTGGGTTTTAAGCAACAGTATATCTGTCTCTGGCTGTTTGCAAGACCCGACTCATTTTGTTTTGCTTGTTTGTCTTTGTCACGGTAAACACTTTCCACTACAGGTAAGACACATCGCGAGCTGCCACCAGTGTGACAGCACAGATGACAGCATGTCATCAGTGTTGCTGATGCGACAACAAATCATTATATATATAAACACTTAAGTCAGTTATTTGTTTATGGTCTGAAACATCATGTTATCTGCAGAGCAGGAAACAGCAAGACAGGAAATAAAAGGCTTCACTTGAATTTCAACCGTAATTTTCCATTTTAAAGCATTTTTCCCCCTGCAGGTATTTCACAATGATCCCAAGAGTTCCCCAGTATTCTTCAGTATTTAGAAATAAATCCACAGAACAATCGGTACCTGGGTGTAATTTGTTTTGTCTTTATTATAGTGATGCAATGATTTCTTTCAGAACAGAAGATACTTCAAACAAATTTGCCATTTTAATTCAGCTCTGTATTATCAGCGTTTGTTCTTTCCTGAAATTTCTTGTTCTAGAAAGTGGACGTCACCTGCTATTTGACTTTTTTTGTTAATTGCTGGGTTAATTGTTGACAGAGCAACACCTGGGGACTCAATAGAAAAGAGGACTGTATCGGGGATGAGGAAGAATGCTTGCCTGTTTCAAATCTTAATTACGCCGCTAAGTGGTATTTCTCTTCATGCCAGTTTGCTTCATTGTGTTTATCAGTTGGTGATGGTTACAGTAAACGCAGACTTTGCTACATCAGATGTAACAGGTGGTGCAGTGGGGAACACTGTTGCCTCACACCTCTAGGACTGGGGGGGGGGGGTCATATTTCTGCTCTTGTTTGTCTATTTGCCCTGCATTGTAGTGGTAGCCCATTAAAGGCGTACCACTTTCATTTTACCTTAACCCGCATATCCCTTGGTGCCAGACCCAGGTGTCTTGCTTGTTCCTGAGGACACCTCATCGCTGGCTAAGCCGCCCCCCCCCCCCAAACTGAACGCCAGTGCCAGACTCATCTCCGCTCGGCAAATTGTACCACCAGCAATCTGCGGATTATTGACGTTCCATCATTTTTAATTCTCTCTCCTTTATTGAGCGGTTCAGTTGGGGGACCCCCTAGCCATGTCAGCATAGCCCCCTCCCCAGAGAAGTTAATCCGCCCCTCCTCTCTGCATTCGCTGGCCTTTTTTCATATTGAGACTACCCTACAGGGTAGGGGGAAAAAAAGCTGACCTTGGTTTTTGTGGCCAACACATATGTGAATTAAATTAGGGGGGGTGCCAGAGAGGATTCGATGTGATATTCTCACAAGCTTGACTCTCTCCCACAAAGGGCCCGTATACAAAATATAGAAGATATCAAAGCTCAGATATATAAATATACATATATAAAGGAAAAAAAACTTCCCATGCTAAACCCACGAAGAGGAAGTTTGGGCCACAAAAATATCATTAGGAGCCACAGGTTCTCTTTCCCGCACGGTTGGACTTCCTCTAGCCTGGATTAATGCAGCTCAGGAGCGCATTGGTGTGTCGCACGTGGCTCAAGCACAAAACAGCCACTATTGCAATATTGGCACAGACACGTTAAAGACAGCCACCATCTGTATTATGACTTTTCATCAAGTCTGACAAATTTCAACAAATTTTCTTTCAAAGTCATTCAGGGAAAAAATAGTTTTATCCATGCATCAAACAATTAAAATTTGCCTTATGTCGTCTTACATAAATAAGAATATATTAAAACTGGACAAAAATTAAGTGTGCAGCTTTTATTGCCAACGTTTGAATTTCCTGCGATGCCTGTGAATGCTAAAGATCGGGCGTTTGAGAAGGGGAGCGAGGAGGAGGAGAAAGGTGCTTCTTCCTTTCCTGATGGGCTTATCCCTCGTTCTTCGAATCCATGGTCTTTACCGTGCTTCTAAAGAGGAAGCAGAGATGCATGCAAAGAAATCTACTATCTCTCGAAACGTCATTATTGTTCTCCAAGGGCACCGCCGGGAGTGGGTCGCTACTCGCCAGTACCCAGTTCTGGTACTCTTCAGAATACTCGGAACCTTTCTTGCATACCATCACCTCTCACAATCTGCTGGAAGTGAATAACAAGCAGAACACTGACGCCTGTTTTCCCAACTTCCAACACTGCCCAAGGGCACTATTAAGGTTTGACAAATCACACCGTAATCAGCTCACTGCAGGACAGCGGGGAGACTCAAGGCTTTAAACAGCGACTACCATGTCTAAGTAATGCTCTCTACACATTCTTCAGTTTTTCCTCTGCATCCAGGGACTAGGAAACAGGGCGAGAGAGGAGACCATCGATGGGCCCCACTTCCACCTACCAGTATGAAAATCAACCAATATGCCTCCTGAACTGGTTTCATTCAGGTAGACCATCACTGCAGGGACATGGGAACTAGGAGATACTGGGGAGACGCGTAACCGCACAATTTGGATTTAAATTACTGTGTTGTGTCCCCCCACAAATATCACACTCTCTTCTACGCTGGTGCATCGTTGAATGTTTCAGCTGTGCTATGGGGAGTAATCCCCATGGTGATCTTTGGGGGGGTGGGTAAAGATCTGGACTGGTTAATGTCACCTTAATGTCAGCCTAATGCACTGCGACATTTATAGGACTGGGGTAAATACCATAATTTTAAAGCCCTTATTACTCTGTGACAGATGTGCTATGAAAGCAGACCTCATGGGCTGGTAAGTAATCGCTTTTCATGGGGGGGGGGGGGCTGTTATCTAAAGTGAATGCTCTAGTGTGTTAATCCTCCGCACCGCACCAAGAATTTACAAAAAAAAGCCAAGAGCATACAACCGTAGGGAATAAATGATGGTTAAATGTGTAAAAATATCACTCCAATTCATCTCTGGCTCCATTTTCACGCTGTAACAAAAATTCTAATTTGAGACTGTCGTATCAACGTTTGTCTGTTTTAACGAGAATTATATATTTTTTTATTGGTTTGAACTGTGAAGGATGAGGCACAGGAGCTCGTCTGCTTTTTCATATTTCTAGAGAAAAATGATCTGAGAGAAATGTAGAATATTCCAGAAAAAAAAATAATAATTACAGCATAACTATAGTGACAAATGACTAGGGTCATAGGACATGTATTTTACATTACGTAACTCTCAAGATGAGAAAAACTTCACTTTTTTCACACTTGGAGGCTGATTTCGGTTGATACATAGCACCAGGTAAACATCTAGACACAACTGCTTTCAATGCATACTCATGTTATAGCAAAAGGCCTCAAGGCAGTCAAGTAATATATATCTAATATTCCAACGACCAACATCTCAGAATTTTCTCAAATTGTAGATTCTCCAAGATAGCCCCCTTTTCCCTTGAGGACAGCATTGCAGACTCTTGGCAGTCTTTCAGCCAGCTGCTTCTCCAACAGTCCTGAAGGAGTTTCCACAACTTCTGAGCACAAGTTGGCCACCTTGCTCTTA